CATACACCAGGGAAGCGTTACAAGTAAGAATTCACGACCCGGTGTATTGCTTTTCTACTCACGAGTAAAAAAATGTCAACAGGTCACAACTTCCGCTGATTTAGAGTTATCGTTCTTTGCCTCCCCCTAGCGTTCAGTAGAAATGCTATCAACAGCTAAACAAGCTCATGGCTTCTAGAACTTGTATGACAACTCGTACCTTAAACAATTCGCACGAAGGACGGAACATTCTTCGTCGAGTAAAAAATTTTAATATTGGATTTGTATAACATTTTATTTGCATTTGCTCTATTTTATCTTTGATGAACATTTACCTTGTATTAATACCTAGTCCAATATTAGTTCCACAATCAAATATGACTTCTGAGGATTTTCTATAAAGATATAAAATAATTTTAGTAATAATATTTGCTAAGTACCACAAGTGGGATATTCTCTTTTTGTTGTGAAACTTTTGGACATCCAATATTATTTTTAAAACAAAGCTATCAGTTTTCCTTGTATAGCCACAAAAAGATGGTACGTACATACAATTATCTTTATATCTAGAAGGATAAAGAACGGCGGTGTAAAAAATAAAGTGGCATAGACAATTAATAAGAGCTTATGCTCAGACATCCTTTTTTTATTTTTAAACTAATAAATTAAGGAAGAAATATTTACATGAATAACTAAATTATATAATATGTATCATCCGAAAGACTGCATGACTTGACTCCTAAATATTAGAAAAAATAAATAATACACTGTATATCTGTAATAAATGATATGATTGTATATCTTCCATTTCCATAAAAAGTAAACCAACAAGGAAAATAACTGTTTTAAAATGTACATTCCCATAAATAAACTGAGAAAACGGAATTTGCACTGACCTTCCTGTACGACCACGCACGATTTAAAAACCGCAAACGATTGAAACCGATTCACTCACAATTTCTCACGCAACGAGAACGATCTCTCACAATTAGTGAACGAACAGGCATGCTTCACGAATAATTCTGCGCGACCGTTTTGTCAACATTAACGTTGCAGCCACTGTATGGCCTTTTTTGTAAATACAATTTTACTGAGATATATTTTCTCTTCTTTATTTCATGCAATTGGGTAGGTCATTTGTTTTTTTTAATGACTAAGGGTACTACGTCTAAGTTATCCATACATGGAGATCACGGCGGATGTGACCTGTCGACGAAGGATGTTTCCTCTTTCTAGGCACCTGATCCCACTTCTGCTGTATTCAGGGTTCCTAGTTTTACTTCGTTTTGTATACTGGGTATATGAGATTTATCACTATTCGCTATCTCCACCTTTTACATTCCAAAACTGAAAGTACTCCCACAAAAAGTGGAACCAAAAAGAGGCACTCTGTAAAGTCAAACAAAACAAAACCTTGTTTCAACGATTCCATGTAAAAATAAGTGAAAAAGAAGGCATCGTTGGCTAGAGTCTATTTATGTAAAATTTAAAACTAAGCATAGGGAGTATATATATTAAGTGTTGATAATTTCCCTTTTATACTCGAAAGAGGACAAAAAAAATAAGTCTACCCGGAGTAAAAATTTCTTACTTTTCAAAATCAACGGAAAGATTTTTTTTTAATAATTTAAAAATTTAAGCTGGGTTGTTTGCATTTCAGTGTTTTCCACTGCAATCTTAAAGTAAAGGTTGAACGAATTCCATACAATAAGGAATTAAACTTATGCTTCAGTCTTAACATAATCATAATGAATGGTAAAGCCATTAAGTTTTAAAAACTAATTTTCTGGATCCCCTTGCCTTTTGAGAACCTTTAAATACATGTACTTAATAACAGTAAATACAAGAAGAGAGATTACACTGCTGTGCAGTAACATTTAAAGTATTGCGCTGTCATGAGGTGTTACACTTAAATAGCACAAGAGAGATAACTCTTTATTGTAAAAATAGAATTTGTAGTTTTGTATCAAGAGAAGCTGAATGTCAATACTCAAAAGAATGTTCCATAAAATTCCTTGTAAAGAAGGGATTTCTCTGTTGTCCTTGACCGGGGACTATGGTCTCTGTCTCCTTTCTAGTGTGCAGTTTATTAACAGATGTCATTGTATGTCAATATCTTTGATGTGTTTCCCTGAATATTAATTTTGAATAAAATCAATGAAAGATCAATGCAGATTAAATAAAATTTTCTCTTTTATCTTGACATTATGACTTTGAAAAAGGTAAGGAAAAAGATCAAAGGGTGATCTCAAGAAAAAAAAATCAAAGTAAAACAAATCTTTTAGCAGAGCATTAACCAAGTACACCAAGAACACTAAGTTTTATTTCACATATATATATATATATATATATATATATATATATATATATATATATATATATATATATATATATATATATATATATATATATTAATTTATTTATTTATTTATTTATGCCGAGGCCCCGTGTCACGGCAGGCGTTGGCACGATAAAGATCCCTCACTGCTCAATGGTCCTGAGTGCCGGGCAAAGGTCAAAATTTGAAGCCCTTCATCGGTATATGGTGACGTACCTATATGAGTGAAAAATTCTCGAATGGGACGTTAAACAACATACAATCAATCAATCAATGAATGGTGGATCTGATAAGCACAAAAGCGGGGAAACTCTACTTTTTCTTTTGAAATGAAAACTTGTAGCAAAATGTGATATTGATCTTCAAAAAAGGTGATTATTTAACCTTTTACGAAAGAGTATACAGCAATAAATGAGTTTGTTTGTATGTATGTTGTTTAAAGTCCCTCTCGAGAATTTTTCACTTATATGGAGACGCTACCACTTGCCGGTGGAGGGCTTCCAATTTTAACCTATGCTCGACACTTAGGGCCATTGAGCAGTGAGGGATTTTTTATACCAACACCTACTGCGACACCGCAAACCTGGGTTTACACGGTCTCATCCAAAGGATCGGTCTCCACGTCCCGCAGTGGATTCGAACCACGACGTAAGGATCAACTCCTTACTCCGCGACTCTAGAGCAGACGCTCTTACCACTACGCCTCGCGGGTGACCACAATAAATAAGAAAGACCTGTCAGGTCTGCCACCGTTACGTTTCTTATGATATGTAAAAATTAAGCCATATAAATATCGTTCTCTATCCAGAGTTGTCTTTCGTGGCTCTCCAATCACCTATGTCAACGCTCTTTGTGAATATTTGAAATTCAAATCCTAATTAATTAGTTAAATATCAGTAAAGATGACGGTTTATCATTTATTTTAAAACTATCATCCCTTAAATGATTTATTCTCTCGGTTATTAAGAAACTATTTTGTTGAGTAAAAAATTAAAACGTATGGGCAAAATTCTTTAAAAGGGGACAGTATATTTCAATGAATTATATATCTTTTAATGATATGATATCAATTTAAACTATTTTGAATTTAATTTTTACCATTTACAATTTTTCCTAGATTCTTTTATACCAAGTGTTAACAGCGGTGTATTGGAGCGTAGGAAAAAGAATGATATAAATATTTTAATAGTACAATCTATTTTGTATTAATTTACATAAGAAGTATCATTGTCGTCAAATGCTGAGCTTCATTTTTTCCACAAAATTAAAATGGAAGAAGAACACCCACCAGTAGAGTTGCGAATTATCTTTGCTCATCCTTTCGAAGTTTTGCACACATTGCAAATGATGGGGAATATCTCTTTAGAAAAAAAATATCTGTGATATAATGTACTACAGAACATGAACATTAAATGTTCCTTACTATGTAATATGGATATATTTTACTATTTATACTTCCATATTTTACTACTTATATATATATATATATATATATTATACCTCTGTGAATTTTTTCTACATAAAAGTATGCCAAATAAATCTTCTATTTTTTCTAAACAGCCCCTACCGTGGAATAGTTTTTGTGCTATTTACCCATGTTGAAATAGTCATCAAACTAATCACCGAAAGCATTCCATTTCCCTCGTTTTTCATCTAAAAACTATATGGGTTGTTGTATTGTGACGTATCTGGTTTGTGACGTAAAAAAGTAAAGTCGGCTTCGGTATAATAAAACACCTATTTACTGGCTATGAGGATAATAGGAAGTTTATCGTCCCCCTCGACAGCAACTATTTCCCTCGGCTGCGCCTTGGGAAATAGTCGCTGTCTTGGGGGACGATAAACTTCCTATTGTCCTCATAGCCAGTAAATAGGTGTATAATATATATATATATATATATATATATATATATATATATATATATATATATATATATATATATATATATATATATATATATATATATATATATAATTAATACAGTGAAACCTGTCTAATCTGAAATGCATGTTGAGACTTTTTTTGTTGCGGAATAAACATGATGTCGGATTGCACTGTGTAAAAAAACATGGAGATTAGGAGAAATGAGAATGAAATTCAATGTCGGAATTCACAGTGAACGGATTGTAGAGGTGTCAGATAAGAGAGTTTTCACTGTAATATGCTCTACAATAGAGAAATCGTCATTCTTATTATCCGTAAAAGCATCGTCATGTGGCAGTGTTTGTAAATAAGAAAGAAAAATATTTAATAACCAATTTATTACAACACATACAAGCTTTAGGTACAGCTTTTGATGAATGCATTCGGTAAAGAAAAATAACATTATTATTGCTTTAAAAACAGTTCAACCTCACCCCGTCAAAATATAATTGTTTACACGTTTATCCACTTGATGTAAAACATTATTTCAAAAAAGGATAAATGGAACCCCATGATCAAGATTGATTTAATATAGTCTATTTTGTCAGAAATGTTTCGTCTGATTAATGGGTTGTCGTCAATCTGTGATATCTTCTTCTTTAGATATTCATCTGTTGAAAATAAAATAAAACAATTAGATAATGTTTCAGAAAAAAAGCGTATGTTTTACATCTCTTGCAACTTTTCTTATAACTGTTTAAAATTTTAATGGAAATACCAAAGAGTAGATACTAGGTTTTAATATTTAATGTTGTTTACCTAATGACGTTTGATTAACATCATTGTCCCCCTCACAGATGTCCCATTCTTTACTGTAGGATGCCAAGGTTTGCTCCACGCTGCCGGGTACCAGGGACCGTTAAGGAAGGCCCAGCGACAGGAGTTAAACCACCAGCCTCCTCTGTTGATAACAGCACAGTTACTTTTTATATTCCTGTCGTTATCCCTGTCTGAGGTAGTAAAGTACATCCCAGACAGAGCTTTCAAATCGGGAGAACCAGTGTTTAACATACTGTCACCTGTAGAATTAGAGAAAATATATTACAGTAGTCATTGGGATAACCAGTGTCCAACAAACTGTCACCTGTAGAAATAAAGACAATATATTACAGTAGTCATTGGGATAACCAGTGACCAACAAACTGTCACCTGTAGAAATAGAGACAATATATTACAGTAGTCATTGGGATAACCAGTGTCTAACATACTGTCACCTGTAGAATTAGAGACAATATATTACAGTAGTCATTGGGATAATCACCTGTAGAATTAGAGAAAATATATCACAGTGATAATTGAATCATATCACATTAATCTTATTGTCAATTATGCTGAGGTACACCTAAGGCAAATCACGACTTCTCAAGTTGTCTCCTGTAAATAGAGATAATATTAAAAACACAATACAACAATATGCTGCGCAATTCATAAAGCATCCCTTTCTAATGTTACAATAAACCGCAAAAATTAGTGCAATCAAGGGGTATGGAGTTTTTGGCGTCATCACAAATTAGCGCTACACATGTCCTTGCCGTGTATTTGTATTAGTAAATAATTTCTTATTGGTATTCATGGATTAGCGCTTCGTTGTCTGCGCCGAAGCCGCTAAAATATGAAGCTCGCTTTTTTTAAGTACACATACAGTAGTTACTGGATATGCTAATTATAAATAATTTAACATAATTTTCTTTGTTTTTAATATATATAATTTCACTCTCAATAACGTAGCAATGGCAAACTCAATGTCTGCGGAATTCATGAATTGTACCTACAAATAATATCGTGAAATATTTAGGGAAAAAAACATGTAATTAACGTGGAATCAAAGACATTTACGGAATTTAAGAAAAAATATATCTTTGTCTTTTTTCAACAACTTAATAATCTTTCTTTGCAAAAAGAATGTGAAGGTAAATTTGATTTGAACCCAGTTTTAAGAACTTAACATGAATACACTTACCTAAAGTTCCCATGGCAGGCCCAGCTAGAAAAAGTTGATATTTCTCTGTTTCATCGGAGACCGAGAATCGATCATACAACTCGTACAAGCTCGAACCATTCGTTAGTATGATGGAAACATAAAGGGAGGAGTTGTGCCCCTTTGTTAACTGATGGATTACGTCATTTCCTGTATTACCATATATTTAAAATCAAGTGTAAAGTTTATTGAAATACAATTACTTCTATTTTGAATATGAATATACCTTAATGAAAAATCAAATTATTTTCTTTAGCTGTAAATATTGTTGTTAATTTTGGTTTTTCTTAAGATCATGCCGCTAAGTGATATTTTCCTCTCGCTTTCATTATTTTATTAATATTTAAGATATCAGTTAAACACAATAAGTGAGTATCTTCGAACACATATTAGCCAGTCTTAAAATCAGATCTTTGATACGCTTTCATTTTTTATCTGCCACAATAAAGAAATTTTGTCAAATTTTGAAGCGGATGAAATCACCATTTGAAAGAAATTTACACTTACCAACCCAGATATCCTGTTCTGGTGAACCAAAACCATTCTTGTATTCTGTCCAATTCCTGTCAAAGCTCAGGGATCCATTAACTCGTTTCTGAATTGCCTTTAAAAATTAACATGTATAACAATACAATTCACTGTTTAGAACAGTTTTAGGACCAGAATGTTATGATATAAACTCAAAATATTCATTTTCTTTTATCAAATTAAATTTTTGATCCTACAATCCTTTAAACAACAAGAGCACTGAGTGTAAATTGTATTGTGCACTATTAATTTTGAAATTAATTAGATACCATCCATCCTCCGTCCATTGTCTCCATGTCGCAGTAAACTCTGACAGGACTGGTAAAGGTGCCATAGGGATAGATTTCATACACACCTGTTTTAGTGTGACCATCTGTATGAAGATCCTTACAATCTTTGGGAATAACTAAAGAAAAAAAAATACTATCTACAGGAACAACTAAAAAACAAAACAAAATAATACTGGAATCAGTAGTGAGAGGATACAAAATAAATGCAAGACAAATTAAGGTTAATTGCTGAAGTTAAGTTGTGAACTACAATGTAGATTTTGTTAAGCTCCTCCTATTACATAATATAATTTGTCAGATCTTTAATCTTTAATCTATAATTTCTTTTTAAAAATATCGGGCGACAGAAAATGCTTAGAAGTCCATGGCGCAAGGTTCCAATCTCAGCTTTAAGAATAGTTATTGCAAGATAGAAATTTCCAATAACTAGCTTAAGTGCATCCTTTTATTATTTCAGGCAATTATAAATAATACTTTTCTTATGGATAAGAATTATTCAATGTTATTAAGCTTCAAATGGATTTCATTACTGTATTGTCATCTTTTTTTCATTAGTATTTCATTCACAGTAGAAGTTCATTTTTTTTTATCAAAGATAATACTAACTGAAAGCAAAAATAAAAAAATATATAGTTTCTTCAATTTCAAATTCAGATTTATTCGAAATGAAAATAATATGAAAAAATTAGTAAACAGATAGGACTATTATTTAGAATTAATAATGTTGAAAAAGCAATTGTTTATACCACATAAAACAGTAGTGTCTCGGGAAAAAATAGTTTCTTTCATAGTTAACACCGATTAACCTCTTCGACCTAAAAGTTATGCAATAAAAACCACTAACTTTTTTGTGATTGGTGGCAATCGGGAAAAAATAATAGTTATACATACATTTATGGGAATAGAATCTCCAGTCCCCCTCATTAGACATCTCCGAAGTGAGGATTTTCTTGTGCGTATGGCATTTCTTCATTTGAGAATTAAATCCAAAGAATCTACATTCCCTTTGACAGAGAGCTGCACACTCGATCAACGATGTAGAATTATATTCTTTCAAGAGTTCATTAATTGATTTTTTATCATCAAATTCCAGTTTCGCCATGTATTTACGCGAAATAATGATAGACTGAGACACCGCAAAGAAGACAAAAATTAAATAGATAGCCCAAAGAGCGACCATATTGTAATTTGTATTATATTATATTATATTATATTATTGTATTATAGAGCTGCCTGCAGCGCACCTGTAAGAATTTGCAATTTGGTCTTTCAGCCGCCAAATATAAATATCAAAACCTATATCAGTTACTGAAAAGTGATTGGCTAACTGTTACGTATTCCTTATTTACAATTGTTAAATCATCGATTTTGTTGAATATAAAATGAACTGTAATAAATGTTTACTTTGCGATTGCAATTTTAAATATCTCAATGAAAAATATGCCCTTATAATTAAAGAGTTCATGTCTCTAATGTCAAGTCACGGTTATGAGTTTTTCAATCAGCTGTCTTTAAATTATCGAACTTTTTATTTCTTTTTTAATTTAGGTATGTTACTCGTAATGCAGTTAAAATTCATTGATTTCGGTAAATCAAGTTCAAAGAGAAAATTATCTGATCCTCAGATTATATTAAGAATTTGTTCAAGTGTTTCAACTTTTGTCTATAAGTCTCCAAATGTTAATATAACACATGCTACACCATTATTGGTTATATACTTCTGAATTTAATTTTTCGGGCAACATTTTTTCATTCCCTCACAAAAAATTAAAATGCTGGTCGGAGTTTGTCTGACTGATATTCTTACAAACAGAGATATGATCCAGTAAGTGTTCTACCAAGCCTCTTTCTTTACTTGTTGGAGTTTGGAGCTATTGGATATTTAGACTATCATAAGAAACACATGCACACAATAAAGATCACTTATGTTTTTGGTGTAGAGAATTAGACGCTCCTTAGGAAAAGTTAGTGTACCCATTATCAGTGTTAAAGATATTTAGAGGGGAAACACTGAAATCTATATGCAGTCGAAATTGCTATCTCGACCTTGATGGGAGGGGAAAAAACTTCGAGATATTCGATGGTTCGAGATATTCGGGGTAAAATATTAAAATAAGTGCTAAGGACTACAAATCACTTCGTCATACCAATGGTATTCGAGATATCCGTGTTCGAGATGCTAAAAATTAGCCTTTGTTTCTTTGTAAAATTCGTTTTTAGAGAGGCATAATATTTCCATGTTTTTTTTTTCTGTCTTAATAATGCGTTAATCCTACCGAACATTTTACGCAAAATTTAATTTTCGGTAAGGGAAGCAAACGTTCTGTGGCCTTTGCTTACAATGTTGCTTTTGTGATATCATTTATGAAGATCCTGTTAAGAGGTAACAGGAAAATGTTAAATTAAATTGGTTGTGATTGATATATTGCATGCAGCTTTTTTTTTACCAATAATATTTTAGTTCTTTTTTTCTTTTTTCAATGGCAAGATAAATTATGATGCATAAATAAGAAAGAAAACAAAGAACACTGTAAAAGTAATTCATTTTTATGTAAAGTATACAAACAGTCACAGGAAACTCTTCTTTTTAAATGACTTGATGCACTTTACAGTTTTCAGTTCACGTAGTTAAATGATATTTAACCCCTAAACATACCTAGTATACATTTTTGACTTGTCTTAAGCTAGAGAATGACCTAACAAAAGCGTCTTTACAAAGATGAGAATTTGCCTATATCGATACACTGAATGTATAATTTAATGTCTTTAAAGTCAAGCGCCTAAGACGTCCAAAACAACGATTAACTTACCTTCATTAAATTATGCTAGGCTTCATACTCCAGTATAATGAATTACACGATAGTTGAATAAAATGTATTTGCTGATATCCTTTGAAATACATATATTGTTTTAATGACTTTAGAGCTTGTCAACTGTTCCTTATCGACATCTTTTATATAATGCAGTAAAACACAATTATAGCAAACATGCTTATAATGAATTCACGCTTACCGAAGTAATTTCCACTTCCCATAGTTTTGAACTTGTTTCGAACTGAACGGAACTTACAAATTACGCTTATAACGAATCAAAATTGTTGGTTCCTGGCACTTCGCTATATGCACGTTTTATTGTACCAACAAAACAAAACCTAACGAAAACCGGAACCCAACAGAAGGCGAGCGTGCTTTCTCTTGGGTTTGCTAGGACTGACACTAAGCGGACTAAGAATTCAACCAAAGCGCACCCCGGATGCATCAAAGTCAAGCACGTATAATGAACTCAGTTTTAGAAGTGGACCCAGAAAGTGAACACCGGGTTCTCTATTACATAACAGAGCTGTTAATCAGGATAAGAAAGAAAAAGCATTGACCAATCAGCTCGTCCACCAATCAGCATGTCAGTTTGCCTCTCAGTAAGGATAAAAAAGAAATAAAGTACAAACAGTGTGTGTTTAAATACAATTGATATTTTTAATTATTTATATGATATTAATGAATAATTATTCTACGGGTACATTTCATATTTAGATGTTTATTATCCTTAATTATACTTTTTAATTGATTTAATGATAAACATATGTAAACAAAATGTATGTTAACTAAAAAGATATTTATCACAACTATCTGTTTTTAATTTTCTAATTACATTTATTTTATTTTTCCAAAAATTATTGAAATCCTTCAATTCTTCATCAATCTTTTTTTTTCTATCAATCAATTACAGAATATTTTAGCACATTTGAATTAATGCAAAATATATATTAATAATTTAATTTTGGTTGTAACGCGTCATTTGATTGGATAAAAAAAATTAGAATATATCGTGTAACTTGGGTTGCCTACCAATCCGCTATCCGTTATCAATCCGCTTGACGTTAGATTTAAAATACTACAATTTGAAGACATTTTTGAAGGAGAAATTGTCTTCGCGGTTTATAAAGCGTAAACTGTCCCAACCCAGGTTATACCAGTATAACTTGGGTAGCTATTAAATAAATTCATTCCTTAATTAAACTTCAAGGAAGCTCCAAACACTAGCAAAAAGTGCTCTGTGGACTTGGAAAAAATAAATATATATGAAGGTGTGCATATTGAAACTATTTAGTTCATTTTCACCATAGGATACCTGCCTTATTTCCACAGGAAAAATGATCAAAGGCAATTCACTATTCATGAACAGAAATCACTGTTGCTAACTGTTGGGAAAATCAATGTAAATATTAAATCAGTTGCTTTTTCTTGATCTCATATAATGCTCAGAATATTTTAATCTACTATAAATTATGTAATTAACAGTAAGCAACCATCTTACTTCTAAGGGCAGATCACTCTAACTGCATAAAACTACCCCTTCAAGTAGAACTCCTTAGTGTACAATGTTTAGAGCTTCCTTAAAAATAACCTCGGGAAGTCAATTAGAAATATGACTTATGAAGAACTATTTCATGTGGTGGAAAGATATTTTGAAGAAAATTATAAAAATATACAAACTTGTTTTATTCAATCTGTAGGAACCTTGTTATTACATACATACATTTATCTTTATTGTTAGATTTTTTACGTTATTATATGCTTGGAATATTCAATATTCAATTGGGGGGGGGGGGGGTTGAGTGACAAACATATATTTATAACAAAATTTTCATATCTATTTAGCATACTTTGTCAAAAATTACAGATGTACTGAACTTACCAAGATAAAATTAACATTACAATGCAGGGAAGTAATTTTTGTTACATAAACCAGCATCAGCATAAGCATTAGTAGCATCAGGATCGAGCTAGCATCAGCATCAGCATTTAAAAAACAGCATTACCAGGATCAACATCAGCAAGCAAAGGATAAAACCAGCATTGACCTACATAAAATCAGCATTACCCTAACAAAAAAATACTATAGTAAACTATAGTTAACTATAGTTTACTATAGTTAACTATAGTAAATCAAAGTTCTAAAGTTTTTACTATAGTAAATCAAAGTTCCAAAGTTTTCACTATAGTAAATCAAAGTTCCAAAGTTTTTCTATAGTAAATCAAAGTTCCAAAGTTTTCACTATAGTAAATCAAAGTTCCAAAGTTTTTACTATAGTTAATTAAAGTTTCAAAGTTTTCCCTATGCTTAATCAAAGTTTCATAGTTTTTTCATTAATTTAACAACTTATGTATTTTTATTAATTTAAATTATTTAGCCGTTTTAGGGGAGAGGTGGATATGGGGTTGGTTGGGGCTGGTTTTTGTTGTACATCTTTATTTAAATATACAAAGTAGTTAATTCAAATGCAATATTTACATTTATAAATTTTAAAAAAATACATGTTGACTGAAGTTGATGAAGCAGATATTTTGATTCTAAATGACACAATAATATATTATTTTTTCTCCATAAATGAGACTTACGTTACATCTGCATAACATTAAAACTAAATGCATTGAAATAAATATTGCTTATTTATCGGCGCAAGCGACAACCTTTACATTAAAATTCATATCTTGTACATAATTCTTTTAGGGGAGGGGTCGGGTTTTAAAAATGTTCTCTAAAGCTTTTATGAATCTTAAACTTGAAATATCATAAAATGTAAAGAATAGGAATCAAAAACATAATTCCACAGGATTTATCGTACTTAATCAAAGTTTCAAAGTTTTTACTATAGTAAATCAAAGTTCCAAAGTTTTCACTATAGTAAATCAAAGTTCCAAAGTTTTCACTATAGTAAATCAAAGTTCCAAAGTTTTCACTATAGTAAATCAAAGTTCCAAAGTTTTCACTATAGTAAATCAAAGTTCCAAAGTTTTTACTTTGGTACTATAGTTAACTATAGTAAACTATAGTTAACTATAGTTGACTATAGTATTTTTTTGTTAGGGTATCCTACTAGCATCAGAAAATCAATGAGTTTTAATTCAGTAAAAAATTAAAAAAGAAAGAAAGAATATTGGTTAAATATTGGTTAAAGTATTCACATTATTGATACATAGTGAGATATTATGATCAAATAATTGCAAAAGGCACTTTTATTGCTTTAAACGGCAATGCTGAAATTCATTATCTACTTCCGGTAGCATGATGCTACTTCCGGTAGCATTGACCTAATTATAA